CATAAAACTAGACATAAAGATGATTTATCAAATGAAATATATAACTATAAATATGTCAAAGAGAAGTATTCAGAACTTGAATTTAGGCAAATAATTGTGTCTGCTAATTTAGGCAAAATCATTTTCTGCTAATTTAAAGACTAGATCAAGCTTGGCATGATGGCACATGCCTCAAGTCCCAGCACTCGGGAGGTAGAGGCAGGCAGAGCTCTGAGTTTGAGGCCAGCCTGGTCTACAGAGTGAGTTCTAGGACAGCCAGAGATATACAAAGAAACCCTGTTTTTAATGTATTTCAAGTGCTATTATTGATTGAATACATATTTCCTGTCCTTTTTGTGGTGGTGGGAGTTCAAGACAGAGCTTTTCTGTGTAGCCTTTGAGCTCAGAGATCCATATGTCTTTGCCTCCCAAGTGCTGGGATCAAAGGCATGTGCACTACTGCCCAGCTTGAATACTGAATCCATCCATCCATCCATCCATCCATCCATCCATCCATCCATCCATCCAATGACACAATCCTGTCTGTCTGTCTGTCTGTCTGTCTGTCTGTCTGTCTATCTATCTATCTAAGTTCATCTCTATGTTTATCTTTCTTCTAAAAAAGTGATTGCATATTGGATATGCAGGTACATTAGCTGCAGTACTCAGTAGTTAGTCAGAAGGATCAGGAATCCAGGGTCAGCTTTAGAGTGAGTTTAAAGCCAATCTGAGCCACGTGAAACTGCTTTTGAAAAAACCCTGCTGAAGTTCAGATCTGAAGTGTCCCTCAAGAGCTCATGCATTGAAGGTTCGGTCACTGGTCTGTGGGCCTGCTGAAAGGTGGTGGAACCGTTGAGATGTGAGCCCCAGGGGGAGAAAGATAGATCCCATGAGTGAGCCTTTGCTCTCTTTTACTTTTATTTTTTATTTATTCATTTATCATATATATTAATATTCTGTTTTTAGGTATGCCTGCAGGCCAGCAGAGGGCACTCATTATAGATGGTTGTGGTTGCTGGGAATTGAACTCAAGACCTCTGGAAGAGCAGGCAATGCTCTTAACCACTGAGCCATTTCTCCAGCCCTCTCTTTTACTTCTTGAGCAGCTTTGTTTCCTCTGCCATGTCATCTGCCTCACCACAGATTCAAATTAAAACCATGGATGGTTTAAAACCTTTGAAACCATCAGCCCTTATAACCCTTCCCTCTTAAGGTCCTGAGCACAAAGAAATGTGAAAATGAAACCCCCCCCACCCCTTCTTCATTGCTGAGTAAAACAGCTAGTGGTGACTGAAGGAAGGATTCATTCACGCTCACAGTTTTAGAGTGTCACAGCAGGAAGACATGACTAAGGAGCCCACCCCTAGGGTCTCCTTCAGCTAGTCCCTCCTACACCCAGTGCTGGAGGTCCAACCCTGGGCCTTGTGCATGCCAAGCAAGTGCAATACTTCTGAGTTACAGCCACAGCCAGGGTCCACCACTGAAAAGCACTGCACAGTGGTCTTCTCAGCGTAACTGGGACAATCAAGATAATCCCCAGCAGGCATCTCCCAGACGCCTGTAGATTCTGCCAGGCAGCTAATTAACACTAACCATCACAACCTCCAAATACTCAAGAGTTACCCAAAAATGGAACATAGAGACTATAAAATGGCAACTTTTTGTTCTTTTAAAGATTTTTTTTTTTTTTTTTTTTTCAAAAATAGGGTTTCTCTGTGGCTTTGGAGCCTGTCCTGGAACTAGCTCTTGTAGACCAGGCTGGCCTCGAACTCACAGAGATCCACCTACCTCTGCCTCCCGAGTGCTGGGATTAAAGGCGTGAGCCACCATTGCCTGGTTTAAAGATTTTTTTTATATGTGTGTGTGTTTTGCCTGCATGTATGTACATGCTCTACATGCGTACCTGGTATCTCGACTGAGGCCAGAAGATGATGTCAGATTCCCTGGAACAGGAGTTACAGATGGTTGTGAGCAGCCAGGTGGGTCCTGGGAACCAAACCTGGGTCCTCTGCAACAACAGCAGCCAGTGCCCTTAACCACTGGACATTTTCTTTTTTAATTAATAAGATGGTAACATTTATTCTTTTAATTCATTAACTTATAAAAGTAAAATGCATGCTAAATAGAGAAGGGGAAAAAAGAAAAAGTCACAATCCACAACCGTACTTAAACAATCAACATTTCATACTTCGGATCCTTCCTAGTGTGCTGGTTGATAAACCAATGCACAGATGCAGAAAAGCATCCTGAAAGGGACTCCCGGGAAAATGGTTGTGAAGATGTCCACATTCTGCAGCAGCTGGACCAGATGCCTCCTTCCCAAGACTGCAATGCTCAGACTCCTACAGCGCATTCCAGTCACTTTAGTCATTGTGTTTCAAACAGAAGACTTCACGTCATAGCAGCAACCCGGGCCCTCCGAGCTGAAGCATCAGAGCAGCTCCCAAACCAGCTCTTACATTTCCCACCAATTCTGCTATTTACAGCACTGGGCACAAAACCAACGATGAGGTGCGAAGAAGGATTCTTATTAGATCGTGGTGAGATCCTTCTCCAGCTGCAGCACAATCTCCTTGAGGGCAGAATCCTCTGCCCAGTTCGTTTGACTCCCCAAAATAAGGCCCTGCAATTAAAAAAAATAAAACGGTACCTAATTTAACAAGATTAATGAATCCTTTCCTTTTTTTTATTTTTTTCCTGGACAGACAGGTTCCATGTAGTCCAGGATGGCACTGAACTTGCTATACATCAGCTGTGCAGCTGAGGATGATGCTGAACTTCTGATGCTCCTGCCTCCACCTCCTGGGTGCTGGGATTACAGCAGCCTGCCAATATGTCCAGGTCATGTGGGCTGGAGCCAAACCCAGGGCTCTGTGCTGCCAGGTGAACACCATCAACTGAGCGATGTCCCCAGCATCCTTGCACTGACCTCATCTAATATCCACTGAGCATCTACTGGGATGCAGCACTGTGATCAAGAGGAAGAGCAGGACCACAGCAACCGTGGCATCTTTGCTTCACATAATGCCGGATGGTATTTCCAGGGTTTGCCTATGGGCTCCCTGGACAGATTTTACTCACTAAGAATCCTTGCAGTGTTCTGTCAGACTACGAGGAAAGTACTGTTGCCTGGGGTCAGGCTCACTTAGCTCTGCTCATGGGCACCTCATCCCTCTCTGGAGAAACAGTAACTAAAACTGGTACGTTTTATTTTCAAAAGAGAAAAAAAGTTTAGTTCATCAACGGTTTTTTGTTTTTATTTATTTTTCGAGACAGGGCTTCTCGTAGCTCTGGAGCCTGTCCTGGAACTAGCTCTTGTAAACCAGGCTGGCCTCAAACTCACAGAGATCCATCTGCCTCTGTCTCCTGAGTGCTGGGATTAAAGGTGTGCGCCACCACCACCACCCGGCCTCATCAACGTTTTAAACCTTTGAAAATGTTGACAAACATTTCTGTGGCAGACAATGAGTGGACAATGAAGAAATGATTAGGATCACAATTAATAAGAATTCTGGTCATTCCTATCGATAAACAGTGGCTCAAAGATAGTAACTTATTTATTGCAATAATATTTACACAGATTTTAGAAAGTGTTATGCTATTATGAATAAAAACATTAAAAAATTTGTTTTATAGAATGAACATTCTTGACAGGCAGTGGTGGCGCATGCCTTTAATTGTAGCACTTACTTGGCAGAGTCCTGTGGATCTCTGTGAGCTCAAGGCCAATCTGATCTACAGAGCAAGTTCCAGGACAGTCAAGGCTACACAGAGAAACCCTGTCTGAAAACACTAACTGCCTCCCCAACCCTAAAAAAGAAGACATATTTTTGTTTTTGCCTTTTTGAAATAATTTTATATGTATGGGTTTTTAGCTACAAGCCTAATGCCTATCTGCTTACCAGATAGGTAAGCTATTGCCATGAAGGCCATAAGAGGAGATCAGATCCCTTGGGACTAGAGTGATACACAGTTATGAGTGCTATGTAGGTACTAGGAATTGAACCTGAGACCTTTGAAGGAGCAGCCACTACTCCTAACCAATGACACAACTCTCCAGGCCATTTCTGTGTTTTGGAGACGTGGCCTTGAACTCCTGATCCTTCTGCTTTTCTCTCCTAAGTGTGTGAAGATGACAGGTGTGTGCTGCCACCACTGTTCCACATCTCTCGAACTCACAGAGATCCGCCTGCCTCTGCTTTAGAGGCGTGCGCCACCATTGTTCTTCACGCATATAACTGTTACCTGGAACACATGTTGAACGACTGTAGTAATCTTTATCTCCGTCTGCAGCTTTTTCTGCATGGTCTTTATCATTTCCAAATCTTCCATGTTGTCCAGATCCTCTTTCTCTTTGTTCCTCTCAGTTTGTATCTCGAAAAGCTTAGTTTTTGAAGCGTGTTTTAATTCTGTTAGGTTAAAGATAAAACAACATTATATGGTTTGCCTCTGCCTCACCGCCACCACCACCTGGCATTTTTTTTTTTTAAGTAGGCTACTTTTTTTTAAATGGACATATTTATTTTCAATATGTAGCCCTGGCTGACCTGGAACTCAGAACTTACCTAAAAGGCGTGCGTTCCCATGACACAGAGGACAACTTTATAAACAAGGGCCATGAGAGATTATAAAGCAGAGTACTTCCTGGTTATTCCAGTCAAGAAGTTATTTATTTTATTGTTATGTATATGGTGTTTTGCCTTCATGTAGCTCTGTGCACCGAGTGTGTGCAGTACACAGAGAATGTCCTGGTCCCGAAGTTAGAGATGATCATGACCTGTCGTGTGGGTCCAACCTGAGGACCCTGGAAGAGCAGTCGGCGTTCTTAACCCTGAGCCTTCTCTCTGGTCTGTTTGTTTTTTTTGAGACAGGGTCTCATATAGTTCAGGCTGACTTTGAATTCCTGATCCTCCTGTCTCTCTGTCTCTCTGTCTCTCTCTCTGTCTCTCTCTCTGTCTCTCTGTCTCTCTGTCTCTCTGTCTCTCTATCTCTCTCTCTCTCTCTCTCTCTCTCTCTCTCTCTCGTGTTGGGATTAATGCCAGACCCAAACTTATGGCTTTTTGCATGTTGGGTAAACTCTACCAACTGAGTTAAATTCCCAGGCCTTGGTTCTCATAAATGTTTAGCCACTTTCAGTTTTACATTCACCAAAAGGATACATGCTTTTCTCATTATTACTTATTTATTTATTGGTTTTTTTTTTTTGACTCCTGATTTTATTATCAATTTCTTTTTCTACTGAAAGTAGTCTTCAGTGGCTGGGAAGCCTGGCCTCCCAAGACCAGAGTCAGTTGGAGCTGGTTTTTTGTTGGAGAGAGTGGGTGGGTGAATGGGCGGGGGTCTGGGATGAGGGCAGAAGACCCCGCTCTGCTGGCGGTCCTGGGTGGCGAAGACGAACTGCACTTGAGAGCCTGGGGTGCGGTGGGAAGGGGTGAGGCAGGAATGACAAGCTGGGGATATGGGACCCACCTCAGTCCCCAGCTTCATTCTCTTCTAATGTCTCTCCACTGGTTGCATTCTCTGCAGTCTTGGAGGCCTTCTTTTTCTTCTTTTTCTGTGTTTTTCGACTTGCAGAACACTGGAGGAGAGCCTTTAGCTCTGCATCCTGGACTTCCATCTCCGACTTGTAGAGGTCAGGCTCGAAGGGACCACTGGTTATCCGCATGGGACCATTGGGCATGAGTAGGACTGTAAATTTAAACTGGGCAACATATTCACCCTCCTTCTCATAGAGAACATTAAATGGCTGCAGTAATTCATGCTTGGCACATTCTACCACACCCATCCGAGCCGTCTTCTCATCTTCAAATGCTCTTAAAGTAAATGGCATGGCATCAAAACGCCTTTCCACCTCACTGAAAAAGGCACGTGAAGTCTTCATCTTCAAGCCGTACTGTTTAGAGGGGTCACGTTTGTAAATGGTGGTTCTCTGTCCTGCATCTTTGGCCTTGCCTTCTCCTGAGCTGACGAGGACATCCACAGCATAAACTTCATGTACCTCAAATTCAGCCTTTTCATGGTCCTTCTTCTGCTGGTCTGTAGGGTTCTGGATGATGGTTTTCTCCCCATCGATCACGTGCTGCTTCAGCTGGTGTGACAAAATACCTTCTATTGGCGTGCAATTAAATGAGTGAGCAACTTTGTTCCAGGCTTCTGTCACTTGCGTGTTCTGGTTTCCAGGTTTGACCAGTCGTAAGGCAGCTTCAGCACAAAGATGAGCTGCCTTAATGACGTCTGCTTTCCGCCCTGTGACCTGGGTCCCCTGAGCTACACCAATCACAAAAGTGTGAGCCACGTTAGCAATGAAGCCGTCCACATGGACTCCAAGGTCAATTTTTACCAAGTCACCTTCCTTGAGTATATAGTCCTGGTCACTCTTCAGAGGGAGAAGTGACATACACAGTTATTTACCGAAATGCTGGTAGGAAAGGCAATACCTTTCTTCATTTCCTTCTCTTTCTTGAAGATTTTCCCTGTCTCTTCCATGATCATGGCATCTCCTTTCCCACCCAGGCTCAGTACTGACACACCTGAGCTGGCAGCGTCCACCAAAGATGGTCACGACCAGGTCCTCGGCGATAGTTTGCTCCTGCTGCTCGTCTTCGCCCGACATCTTCCTACCACCACTACTGCAGCTTCACTTTCCCTGAGCTGCGGCCTCCGTCTCCCTTCCCAGCCACAAGCTGTAGCCAGAGTCTCTACGATCCGCGAGGAAAGCGCGAGCAAGCAAGCTATTTATTGGTTTTTCAAGACAGAATTTCTTTGTGAAGCACTGGTTGTCCTGGAACTCGCTTTGCAGACCACCACAGCTGACCATGATCTAAAAATCTAAGTGTCATGTTCAAAAATTGTGATAATTAAATTTATCAGCTGCTGAGAAATCTGTCCCTGTTAATAGCTGAAGTAGATAAAAAATGTTCTATAAGCAATTAAATAATTGAAAAGAGTCAGTGAGGCCAGGTAGCAGTGGTGTACAAGGCTTTAATCACAGCAGAGGCAGGCGGGTCTCTGAGTTTGAGGCCAGCCTGGTCTACAGAGCAAGTTCCAGGACAGCCAGGGCTACACAGAGAAACCCTGTCTGGAAAAAACAAAACCAAGGGCTAGCAAGATGTCAGTGAGTAAGGGCCCTTGTGACCAAGCCTGAGAGCTGGGGTGGCGGAAGGGTTGTTCACCAACCTCCCCGTGAGTACCTCAGCACTCACTCACACACACACACACACACACACACACACACACACACACGTAAGAAAAATTGTAAACACGGTCTACATACGAAGTCTCTTCTTTCTAATGTCAAGCAGTTTTCCCTCTAATTCCGCAGACTCCTGTTTATGAAAATGAAAACATGTCACTCAATGATAAAGCACTAATATTTCACTGAGCTTCACAGAGTTTGATTTTATTCACTTTTTATTTTTTGGGTTTTTCAAGGCAGAGTTTCTCTTTGTAGCCTTTGCTGTCCTGGAGCTCACTCTGTAGACCAGGCTGGCCTCGAACTCACAGAGATCCACCTGCCTCTGCCACCTGAGTGGTGAGATTAAAGGTGTGCGCCACCACCCCCGACTAGTCTGATTTTCCTCTTTTTTTCTTTTCTTCTCTTTTCTTCTTGTTTTTAATATATATGAGGGCTCTAACTGCATGTATACCTTTATGCAAGAAGCATCAGATCCCATTATAGATGGTTGTGAGTTGGTGGAAATTGAACTCAGGACCTCTGAAAGATCAGTGCTCTCAACCACTGAGCCATCTCTCCAGGCCTAGTTTGACTTAGGCTCCAATTTCCCCCTTTCTCCTTGTCTTTGTTTTTATGTGCATTGGTATTTTGCCTGAATGTATGTCTATGTGAGGGTGTATGATCCCGGGCAACTGGAGTTATAGATAGTTATGAGCTGCTATGTGGTGCTGGGGATTAAATTTAGGACCTCTGGAAGAGCAGCCCACACTCTTAACTGCTAAGCCATCTCTCCAGCCCCTTCTTGTCTTTTCTTCCTTTCTTTCTTTCTTCCTTTCTTTCTTTCTTTCTTTCTTCCTTTCTTTCTTTCTTTTTTTTTGTTTGTGTCTGATTTTGAAACAAGGCTACTAGATGGGCGGTGGTGGTGCACACCTTTAATTCCAGCACTTGGGAGGCAGAAGCAGGAGGATCTCTGTGAGTTGGAGGCCAGTCTGGTCTACAAGAGCTAGTTCCAGGACAGGCTCCAAAGCCACAGAGAAACCCTGTCTCGAAAAAAAGAAAGAAAGAAAGAAAGTAAGGAAGGAAGGAAGGAAGGAAGGAAGGAAGGAAGGAAGTAAGAAAGAAAGAAAGAAAGAAAGAAAGAAAGAAAGAAAAGTCTACTATGTAGCTGGCCTTGAACTCACCCTGCCTGCTGGGATTAATAGCAAAGGCTTGTTCCAGTACTCCCAGTTATCTCATAGCCCAGGCTAGCCTCAACTCACTATGGAACCAAGAATGAGCAAACTCCTAGTCCTGGTCTCTGCCTCCTAAGTGCTAAGGACCACAGGCATATGCACTGATACAATTTCCCTATTACTACAAAGCCAAGGGAAGAAAATAGTCACTTGAATTATGTTGATAATCTGTCCCCTCAGTAAAAGAACAAAAACAACCTAAGGAAAGCAGTCTGCAGACACCCGGTCCCAGTGAACACCTCAATCATGAGTTCATACAGTTAGCCAAATATGCCCATCGAAACCCTGAAAACACACACCCCATGTGTCAGCTCACCTTCTGGGACTTCATTATCAACTTCTGTAGTTTTAAGATTTGCTTCATGTCATCAGTGAGCACACTGCAAAGCAAACAAAGTATGATTTATCTACTTAAGCTAAAAATAATCTTGGGGCTGAAGATTCGGTCAGTGGTTAAGATACTTACTGCTCTTGCAGAAGACCCAGTTTGGGTTCCCAGCAACTACATGACAGCTCACTGAACACTCCAACTGTAACTCCAGTTCCAGGGATCTAATGCCCTCCTTCTGGCCTCTGCAGGCACTTCATGCATGTGGTACACATAAACACAACCACACACACTCATTCATATCAAGTAATTAAAAAAAAAAAACTTTGGGGCTAGGAATGTAGCTTGGTTGGCAGACTGACTGCCTAGGATGAACAAATCTGAACCATGGTCTAGATTTCACCCCGACTGTATAAACGGGGCGTAGGGATCAAACCAGCAACTCCTGGACTTGGAGGGTAAGACAGGATTTGAGTTTGAAGCTAGCCTGTACCACAAAATCAGTTCAAGGCCAACATGGCCAACGTGGAAAGAACCTTTATCAAAACCAAAACAAAACAAAAAACCCACAAGAAAACCAAACCAAACAAACAAAAAAACCCAGCCACGAAGTAATAAGTTTATCTGAGCAGAACAGACCTGTGACTTGGAGCACACCAGAGTCCAGGGCTCAATGTTTTTCGAGAGCCAGGGGACAGAGGAGGGACATTTGTAAGATATTCACGGAAGCCAACTAAAGGAACCTTTGGCTGGTTAAAGGTGAGAGTGTTTAATTAAAAGCTTGAAGGTGGTTTGTTTCCCTGCTTACACTGGGCTTCAGCTTGCTCAGGGAGGAATCTAAGGCACCACTCAGGAGCTAGACATGTCCACACTAATGATGCCCTACTCAAATGATTGTTAGCAGTGGTAAACGCCAAGATAGGCTGCAGACAACGCGTGGCCTCCGTTACGTAAGGGGAGTCTAAATTGCACTTTGCTCCTTTAACATAAAACTGTTCTGTTTTTTAAATTATTATTTTATGTGTGTGGGTTGCCACCTGTACATATATAAGTACAAAAAACATGTGTAGTACCCTCAGAGGCCAGAAAATGACATTGGATCCCTGGGAACTGGCGTTCCAGATGGTTGTGAGCTGCCACGTGGGTGCGGGGAATGGAACCCAGGTCCTCTGGAAGCGCAGCCAGATCTTAGCTGCTGAACCGTCTCTCCAGCCTCACTACTGGTGTAAGGTTCCGAGAGGGCTGAGTGAGTAAGACTGCCCACTGCCAAGCCGGATGACCTGAGTCTGACCCCTGGAACCTAAGCAGAGGAGAGACGCGATGTCCTCTCACTTCCATGTGGGTGCCATACCCACCCACCCCCATACAAAAATGAATAAATGTTAAAAAAAATGTTTAGGACAAGGTTTCACAAGAGTCCAGACTAGCTTCAAAATCCCAGAGTTCAGACTGCCTCTGCCTCCCAAGAGCTGAGCTCCACCACACCTGGCCTTGAAACTTCAGAGTCTAGGATCCAGACTCAGAGCCAGCGGGAACCTGGAGAGGTTATAAATCAGCCTTGAGACATCAAGATGGGAGAGGCAGCAGGGTCCATCCCAGAACTTCTCGGGGCTCCCAGGAGGGCACTTTATCCCTCCCAAGACTTTCAGAGTCTTAGAACTGCTACTGAACTTCCCTGCTAACTACGAGAGCTACCACTGAGCTATATCCCAGACCTTTTTAAAAACTATTTATTTTGAGACAGGGGCTCATTAAGTGGTCCAGGCTATCCTTAAACTCATCCTGTAGCCCAGGCAGTTAAAACAAGCTCATTTCTACCAATGAAAAACAAGTAGTGTCCGATTTCATTCCCAGCGTCCATATGTCAAGAGAAAACGGATAAGTTTTCCTCAAGTTGTCCACACACATACACACACATGCACACACACACACACACACTTTTTTTTTTCCTAAGTTTTTTGAGACAGGCTCTCTCTCTACATAGTCCTGACTGTCCTGGACCTCACTATATAGACCAAGATGGCCTCAAACTCACAGAGATCCTCCTGCCTTTGCCTCCCAGTGCTGGGATTAAAGCTGTGCACCGCAACTGATTCATGTACATTTTTTTAAAAGTCACAACCTAAAATCATTTTGCATACCTCCCTTCCTGTTCCCATTCTGTCCAAACCCAGGAGAAATATAAAAGCCACTGGGAGGTGGTGGTGCACGCCTTTAATCCCAGCACTTGGGAGGCAGAGGCAGGCAGATCTCTGTGAGTTCGAGGCCAGCCTGGTGTACAAGAGCTAGTTCCAGGACAGGCTCCAAAGCTACAGAGAAACCCTGTCTCCAAAAAAAGAAAAGAAAAAAAAAAAAAAAAGAAAGAAAGAAAATGTAAAGGCCATACCTACTCTCAGCGCCCATCTTCTCCAAGTTATTTCTAAGAGCAGCTGAAAGTTTCATCCTAAGAAAAAGAAAACATTAATTAACAAAAAAGAAAATGGGATCTAAGAGAAAAAGTTTGTACTGCACAGAACAAATAACACAGGGTAGTAAAACTTTTTATAAGACTAACAAGATTGATTTCGCCTCAAATACACACAAAACATAGTATGTTTTAAAAACAGTATCGCCTGGAAATTGGCATGCCTGTAGTCCCAGAACAGGAGAAAGGGAGTTTATGAATTCCAAGCCTAGGTTCTTATCTCTAAACAAAACACAACACAAAGCAACCCAAACAAATCTAAAATGACAAACCCAAAAGCAAAAGCAGTAATTAAAATACATCTAAACTTCATGATAAGGGAAGCGGCCCTCTCCAGTCACCCCAGAACTTAGATGGCTAAGGCAGGAAGACTCCGGTAAGTTTTAGGTCAATCTGAACTGCACCCCAATTTCCAGGCCAACCTGGGCTATAGAATGAGACTCTGCATCAGAAAAATTTTGTCACAATTCTATGTACTAACAGTTACTGAAATAAATGGACCTGTGTACTGCTTTTAAACACCAACCTGTTTGAAACTCTGTTAACTTCATGAAGAC